CCCCCTCCGGCCGAGCAGCGCCATGCCCCCCCGCCGGAGACCAAGCAGAGGATTATTCCGCCGAGATCTCTAAATTCGAGGGAGAAATCTCTCATCGCTATCAAAGCGCGCGCCTCGAGCGGCGGCCGCGGAGGCTCCACTTTCGCCCCCCACAACGAACACCACGCCTCTCATCACACCACCGGCCGCCTCCGCCACCCCCGCCGCCGCCCCCGCGCGCAGGAGGCCGCAGGCACCGCTATCGTCGCTCGAGTCTTTATGGGCGCTGCGCATGAGGCGCCTTCGTTAGCAGAAGGCGGCCGGGTCGCACGAGACGGGTGTCATTCCAACGTCTGCGAACTAAAGCTAAAAATATACGAGAGAAGCCAGTTCGCAAAACAAGTCTGGCTATGCTATAGTCAACGTGGAAAGATACATCCAATGAGCGAGGTTTACGGTGCGATATGCGATATGTAGCACGTTTTAAAGGTGCTCGGGATGTAGTCCCCCTAGAAAGCCTCTAAATGGCAACATTAAGCACCTTCCGCGCGAGTTAGTGTCTTTGCAAACGACATACGAAATCAGTAACGCCCTTGAAAATTTCCTTCACACCACTCCCAGAGATGCTGATTAGTGCACCAGAAAAAACATCATTTACGCCCGCAAGGCCACAACCATCGAAAACCACGCGGCAAGTACATGTCATATTTTTGGGTGCAGGTCGCGGAGGCGGCGTCGCTAACACCCTACCCTAGCCTGCGGCATCAAACTTTTCTTCCCTCTCGAAGACCACAGTTCACTGAAAGGATTCCTTTGAGCGTTCAAGAGAGTGTCAGAGTTTAGCTTCAAGACGCTGCTCGTAATTTTTACATTTTTGACATATCAGATATCTTTACCCGCCCCGAGGGGTTCAAGGATGAAAATTACTCATCTGGGTGTACACGCTCTGTATGAGACGTTAAACTTGGTTACATTGCATGAGTAATACTAGTACTACTCGCTTCTAAAAGATGTTTGTTGCAGGTGTATGCGTATGCTGTGGCGGCTGAGACGATACGATAAGCTGGGGATACGTCGCGACAGCAGACGGTTGCAGCCCAGCCAGTGGTGCTGACCACCATGTCGAGCGGCGAGGGTGACGATAGCGAATATGATGATATCAAAGTGTTTTTCACCTCTTCAGAGTGGAAGGAACTGACTAGTGAAGAAAAAAGGTGCCACCGAAAGTCAAAGGACAACTATGAAGCCATACGGCGCTGCGGTGAGTGATAACAACAGTACTTTCGTGTGGTTGATGAAGGGATAACCTCTCTTTGTCATTTGCAGTAGACAAATTTGAATGTACACGAGCTGTAAGACCCAAACTAGCCAACAATATACGCCCATTTAAACAAACAAATTCCTATTGCATTGTACAACCGGATTTCAAAACATAATTTTCGAAACCGTGCCGGTGTCATCGTTAGTGTACCTAGTCTACATCACATTGATCATTGATACATCATTCATCCAATGACAGTTACTCAAATGTCGCAATAAACCTTAAACCTGTGGCAAATGGGATGCCATGGTGCTAGATGCATGCGTATGCCTACTCTAAAGTGTGTGAGCTGTAATGACATAGAACCTAACCTCTCGCCTGGACCGCCTCCGCTTCTTTGTGCGGGCGGCGGCGGTGCTACCGGCGCTACGCCACGCCACCCCGCCAGCACTATGTTCTTATTGTTCATATGCATGGTCACTGTTCAACAGAAAAATCTGATTTCTAAACCATATTTGTCGTTTTTTTATTATTTATTACCAGGGTGGACCACCAGGCCTCCATTTTTCATGTGCCGAAAGCCCCCTGCTCCAGCGCGTCAGCATCCACCTGAGACGCAGGACGAGACTGCCGGAGAGGGAGCGGCGCTCCCATCCAAGCTGCTCCCATCTCTACTGGACCAGGCCGAGGAACAGGGACATCCTCCAGGCCCATCCCCCGACCAGCCGCGCGAGGGTAAGCTTTAGTAAACTTTATGTGTGTCTACGCTTTTTGCCTCATGCAGGCGTCCAGGACGGGACTACCAAGTGGGGTGGGGGGGGGGGGGGGATTCGCCTCCCCTGTTTCGATCTGTGCGAGGATATGTGCCTCTGTGCCTGGTTCCAATTCCGACGGCGTTAAAAGTACTTGCACCCATCCCCTCTATGAAAAAAGCACGCGCTTCCCCCTAAGGAATTTCCCGGAAACTAGTCCCAGTCATTTGTATCTTCTCTTAGGCGCCAGCGTCGAGCCCAGGACCTTGGAAACCAGCATCTTCGATCCAAAGACCTCCAGGCTCAGCACCCTCGTGCTCACTACCTCCGAGCTCACTACCTCCGAGCTCACCACCCCTGAGCCCAAGACCTCCGCGGACAGAACCCCCGGACTCAGCACCCCCGGACTCAGCACCCCCGAACCACCCAAGACATCCGAGCCCCGGACCTCCGCGGTCGCCCGCTTACCCAAGCGGGCCGTAAGCCGCATGGCGCACAAGGACCCAGTGCTGCAGGTCAACCACTCCCTCGGTAAGTCTCTCAGCATCGGCATCGGCCAGTTGCGCGTGCGGCCGGGTTGCCTGCGCGCCCGCACGTCAGGCGAAATTAATTTTTAATCGATGTCGAAACGATGTCGTTACGATGTCGTAAGTCAAAATGAGGCACAGGTTTAAGTCGTTGACGACTCAAATCTATCTGTCCACAATTTCGACTTACGATATCATATCGACATCGTTTCGACATCGACGAAAAATTCATTTTACACCGGGTGCTCCGACGGCTCGCCGACGTCGGCCCGGCTGGATCCAGGTCCTTAAATCCTTCTCTTCCTGTTTTCCGGCGGGGCCGTATCCAAACCAAAAGGGAAGGGGTGGGGGTGGGGGCCGCGAAAACACTACGGAACACCAGGGGAAAGAGGGGGGGGGCTAAAGAAACTGGCCACAACGCGTCACGTGGTTTAGGTACGGCCCTAACCTACCCGCGCTCACTCTCCCCTCGACGCTCTCCTCCACAGCCGCCGCCGCGCCGCCGCCTGCCGGTGCTGCCGGTGCTGCTGGGGCTCGCGGGGAGCAGGCGCCGGGCGGAGAGGACCGCGGCCAGCAGGACGCCGCCGGGGAGGCGCCCCACCGCTGTGCGACCTGCGGGGCGGTCTTCAGGAGGGCGGCCCTCCTCCGGGCCCACATGCGGGCCCACGCGGCCCACGGACTGAATAGCCGTGCACACTGCGCAGTCTGCGGCGTTACTTCAGCGGGTAGTGCTGGCCGCCGTTGGCACAAGGAGTCTCGCAAAGGTGGTAGACATAACAGCTTCCATACTAATGTGAAACGTTTCTCTCGAAGTGAGAACCTCCGTGACCACACGAGGACGCACACGGGTGAGAAACCCTACAAATGCCAGGTTTGCGGCAAAGGATTCACTCAAAAGATCCATCTCCATGTGCACACGAGGACCCACACAGGTGAAAAACCTATCATATGCCCGACTTGCGGTAAAGGGTTTAGTGTCAACACCAATCTCCGCGTACACATGAGGATTCACACTGGTGAGAAACCCTACAAATGCCAGATTTGCGGCAAAGTATTCACTCAAAAGGGCCATCTCCATGTGCACACGAGGATGCACACGGGTGACAAACCCTACAAATGCCAGATTTGCGGCAAAGGATTCGGTCGAAAGAGCCATCTCCATGTGCACGCGAGGACACACACAGGTGAAAAACCTTTTATATGCCCGACTTGCGGTAAAGGGTTTAGTGTCAACACCAATCTCCACGTACACATGAGGATTCACTCCGGTGAGAGACCTTACGAATGCCAAACTTGCGGCACGCGGTTCATTCAAAACTCCTCACTCTGCAGACACCTTAAGACCCACACAGGTGAGCACCCTTACGAATGCCAGACTCGCGCCAAAGGGTTCAGTGACATCAGCAACTTACGCGCGCACGTGAGGACTCACACAGGTGAGAAACCCTATCCCTGCAAGACTTGTGGCAAAGAATTTGGGCAACGTACTAATCTTCATAGGCACATGAAGACTCACACAGGTGGTGAGTAACCTTACGATGCCGGACTTGCGGCGCTGCAGGCTCCCCCACGATTTTTTTCTCTCGAACGACCCAACACTGGTGTTAAACCACACGTACCAGACTTTTGGCAAAGGTGTCTCTTATGGTGCTCGTCTTTGCAGTCATACATCGATAAGCAATCTTTCATGCCACAGTCCAGCCGCGCTACCTAAACGGGGATTGAAAATCTCCGCGGACTCTGGAATAGGTACCGTCACGAATTGTAGCTGAAATTATACTTATTGACAGCCAATACATTATATTGGAATTCATTTATATAATTTATAACTGGATCTAGTTTTTGTTTTGTTTTAAAATCTCTGTTTGTTTTTGTTTTTTATCACTCTTTAATCTGTATTACTCTGATAATTTTGCGCTTTGTCAATTTGGCTCTGTTGGTTTTTATCAACACTGCAACTGTAATTGAGCAGATTACCCAATAAATCTTAAAAAAACAAATACTTCAAGAAATTTGAACTTCTGTGCTGCCCTTTGCAGACAAGCAGGCCACAACCGAATCTATCTTCGCCTTAAGTTCACCCCAGAGCCGCAATGCTGTGCCTTGCCTGGTTTGCTCTGCTCTGGATTCCGCCCCGAGTGTGTAGTGTGCCGCCCACACATTAATAATATGTAACTGCCGTGCACTGTACGCACGCGTCCCGTACACCAACCAAACTGCTTGTAGGCTTCTCCTCCTTGCACAGACTACCGATGGCCTTCCCCCCCCTACCCGGCGCCGAGTTGCTGGGTTGGGCGGCCCTCGCGATCTCCGTTTGTTGCATTGCGCACGGCTCGCCGCATCCCTATTCCGAATCATTGCGAACGCAACGGCCTCTGGGCAGGACGCGGGGTCCTGGGGTCCTCGCCGCGCGGTGGCGGGTGCGTGCGAGAAAGAGAGAGGGTTCTCTAGCGCTGCTGCCTTCTTCGCGCAACCTTTCGGCCTTATACAAGAACCCACACAGTCGTCTCGTTCGAGAGCACATGCGTCATGCGCACTCTCTTCGAAATTCTGTTCTCCGTCTTGTAGCCCCCCGAGAGTAATCTGTCCTACTTATTCTTTCAGGCACCGCCCCCGAGGCCAGGACCTCCAGGCGCAAGACGCACGAGCCCAGGACCCCCGAGGCCAGGACCTCCAAGCGTAAGACGCACGAGCCCAGGACCGACGAGCCCAGGACCTCCAGGCGTAAGACACACGAGCCCAGGACCTCCGAGCCCAGGACTTCCAGGCGTAAGACGCACGAGCCCAGGACCCCCGAGGCCAGGACCTCCAGGCGTAAGACGCACGAACCCAGGATCTCCGAGGCCCCGCGCTCCCCCAAGCACTTCGTGAGCCGGAAGACGCACCAGAAGCGTCCAAGCCAGAAGCAAGAGCCGCAGGACAACGTCTCCCTGAGTAAGTAACAATT